TGATACTACATTCATAATACATTTGTTAGACAGCTCATAGCCTCGACTAAATAATTATTTAACAGGTATTATACAGTCATTTAGCATCTAACAGATGGTTTTAGGGCAAAAATATTATTAATGAGTTGTTTAACGAAGTCAGTATTTCAAGCAAAATGGGTTTTTTCAGAATTATAAAAACTTACATGGTCGTTATCAGAGAAGTATAATGCTTGCTCTAATGTACTAAATGCCAAGTGTTCCGGATTATTTAACAACATCTGATTTCCTGGGACAGATCGGTCACAAGGTGGTGTCGATGAAGATGGAGTTGTTTTTGGAATACTGGTCTCTGAGGTAGTTGTGTTAAGTGACTTTGGATTTGATGAATAATTTGGATCACTTCCAATTACAAGTCGGGAAAATGGGATCATATTAGAACCAGTTTGCCGTAACGACAATGACCAAATAGATTGAGAATCAATAAAATACAATTCCTATATATTTATATTGGGAACGGAAAGTATAAACAAACTTAAAACAAACAAACAAACAAAACAATATTATACAAGTAAATGAGACAAAATGTATCATATTATACGACTTTTTGGTAAATGCTGTTAATAAACAGTCTACAAATAAATTTGTAACATATTTATTTATTTAGTTCACGAACAATTGATACAAAACCGAGTATCCCTATCCCAATTTGTTTAATAGAACGTATATGTATATAATCAATTAATGCAGGACTTGGAATAAAGCAAGTAATTTGTTCAGTTATCAAGGGTTGTGAAATCTATAAAGTGAAATACAGTTTTCGTATTTATTGTTTTAATTACGTTTTACCTACTTGCCAGTAGTATACAATTTACGGATACATTTGAACCGAAATTATACTTCATACTACATTGTGCTAGTATTAATAACTTGTTCTGTAAATTTGGTCTATCTAAAATACTATCTATGAAACAATGGATTGATTGAGTCGCTAATATGATTGGATAACACATTCTGTAAGAGATAATAACATTGTTGATTAGCTTAGTAACTAAGGTGTTCGCAGATAAAATTGTACTGAACAATAATATATAGAATTAATAATATAATTAGTTTTCTTTAAATAATAAAAAGAAAATCGAAATTGTTTAGTATATGTTTGAATAAAAATTCAACTGACACAAAAAACAATTTCATGCACATTTGATTTATATTAATTGACCCTTCGAAATGAAGTGAATCAATAGTGTTCTGGATTCAAGAGGCAGATTTCATGAAATCGATTTCAGGTAAGACGAGTAATCATAGAAGAGGGTCTGTATTATCACAGAGTAAACAGATATGAATGAATAGGTAATTAAGCTAGATATCTTATTTACACCACGGAGATCAACAACCACATATTTGTTTTTTTTTCGAACAACGACCACTATCTACCAACCAAAAAATTTGATTAGACCACTAAATTAAATTACAGTTGGATGTAAATGACTGCTAGAAAAAGACCCGATGCTTTATATATGTGCTTTATACATGAGTATTATTGGGGGTAATATTTAGGAGTTGTATGTTTTGCGTATTCAAATTGCATTTAAATAGTTCACAGATATAGTTTCTCATTTAAACGACGTGGTAAGGATCTATATGTGGTAGCAGAAATGAAAACATAAATCTTACATAAAGTAATAAATCAAAGAGTTCCCATTAGATTTCTTTTTTTCGCTCAACACTAAATTTATATTTCTGCAAATCACCCAACAAAAACTATTGAGTGCAGCAAAATGGAGCTGTAAAATAGTTTGTGTACAACAAAAAGAAACAAGCACACACCGTTTGTGTAGCGACAATTCCTTTAGGGGATTTCAAATTCTGTTTAATACAGAACTCTTGGTAGTTGAATGCAGTTGACGACGATGATTCAGAATTAATGTTAGATTTAGAGCTTGGCAATTGACAGTTTTCTCCAATAAGTAAGTGTGCTGATAAATTTGGTGTAGTTTTTAGCCACCATATGCTTTTACTACTCGTGTGTGACAGGAATAATCCATTTGAAAGGTCTGCTCCACCAACATTTCCATTGTTCCCTAATAATGTTACCATAGTGTAATCGTTTGTACGATATATATAATTTGGATGAACAGTTATAAAATATTTTGTTAACTGATCTTCATCAAAATTAGACTGAAGAAAGTCAAGTTTATAATCAATTATTGTTTCCCATCTTCTACGATCATTACGCTTCAATTGTTCTTGAAATGGACTGTTTAGTGAATCTGATCTTATCAGTGGCGTTCTAAAAGATGGTGAAGATTGTGAGGAAGACGATAACACTGATGAAGACCTGAAAGATAAGTGTAAAGAAAGAATTTTATGACGTCTGAATTAAGAGAAGAATATCTATTCAAGATAAAGTTGGGCAGTACAGATTATAGTTGATTTCTGATCTTTGGGATGTAATGAACAAATGAATTTAGGAAACTCAGTGAAAATGTCAATTTCGCAGTCGGCAGACCTAACTCGATAGTTATAATTACGCGAAAACAAAATCAGACAGTTTTTTTGAATTGAAAAAATTTCATAATCTAATGAAATTTGAAACTCTTCGTCTTTCCTGGTCATTGAAGAAGCGATGTATACATAGTGATGATTATAGTCCTACAAAGTTTAAGTATAATTTCAGGGATAATAAAGATGGATGATATGAAATAACAGTTTATCAAAGAGAAAACAGAATTTTAAGTGATATGTAACTTCCAGAAAGTATTTATGACGGAAACAAAGTTTCTAGAGTAAACACAAAGAATGACATTCATCTTATTAATCTATTTCGTTACACAATTTTAAAGTATCCAAAACAAATATATAAAAGAAAAAAATAAAAAGTGAATATTACAAATTAACCTACTTGTACTCCTCGGCTGATTTAGTTGAATTTAACCAACGTAAAAATCCCCCATCTCCAATTAGAAGATTGCCAACTGAATCAGTTAGTAAACAGTATGGATTACGTAGAGATAATTGTCGAGTTGGTTTATCACTAATTGAACATTGACTACAGTCGTTTGGCGGTCGACGTTGTTCAGTTAGTCCAATGACTGCATTAATATGCCAGTCTGTTTGTTTCAAGTAGAAATGTGAACCATCACCGCTTAACAAAATTAAACGGAATAGTAATTAAGCCATATATATATATATATATATATATATATATATATATATATATATATATATATATATATAAACCATGTACCCAGTAGCCAAATCTTTGATATCCCGATGGAACATCTATTTTTTCAACCTTGCAAATATCCCAGGAAATGTTTCGATTTTTTATTTATTTTAATTAATTAATCATGTATGTTCAGCGCCTACTTTACTAAAGCTCTATTTTGCGAAGCTAAATACAAGTGGAAACCTCACGATGCTTGGTGTACTTTTCTACATGTATCTTCTTTGGAGAAGCTAGAGATGATTTCATAGAAATTCATGACGAAATCAATGTGCCTTTCACCAGTAAAGTAATTCTTAACACGACGGAGTAAGAAGCTTCATTTTCTTAGCGATAATTCAATCGGTTGCTTATCAGCTTTGATCTTTGACATTCGAACAGTTACAATCTGGAGTTTGATTGTTTTCATACATATTTATCGATTTGTCAAATTCAGCTTCGTATTCAGTTTGATAAAAAATTTTATATCCCAGAATGTAGAAAGTTGAATCTCTAATATTCGAGAACCTAATGTAAGCCGCTTTTTCATAGAATAAATAATTAACGGAATCAGATCAATACAGGATTTATTATCATGAAAAATCCACCCAATGACTAATTAATTTGAAATTATCAGAGGTTATTCAGATATTTTACTAACCAAATCACCACTGCATAATATAAATCCTCGTATAGAGGAACTTACCGATAAATAATCCCATGGCTAACCGCATACGTATGTAAAATATTTAAATTCCAATTAGCTAAATCTGAGCTGATTAGTTCGCTTCCGGGTAGTTGGACAACTCGATATTCCCAGAAAATACGTGGACAGTTCGTGTATACATAACCAACAGATACTAAAAAAAAAGATTAAAAGGGATTTAGTCGTAACATAAATTTCGCAAGATTAGATCAACATATAGTTAAACGTAAAGTTATTGATACCAACAGATAAAAAAATGACCGAGCTTAATAATTTTCAAGTGTAAAATTTATATTAAGAATTGTTTGCTTGAAATGATAGAGCAAAAAGACGTTGGTATTGCAAATATTATTCAGTTTAAATACTAGGTGGCCGGAGGCTACTAGCAAAAGGCTTCAAACGTAGAATTCTTGCTATTAGGCATTCAATGGTACAGAGTGTCTGTAAAACTGAGGAAATGGACACTCGCCATGAGATTTGAACTCATATCATGTGCTATCACAATCGGCTGCATTTACCCTGAGCTATTCAGGCTGAGACTGACTTTTTATTGAACTGAGATATTTCACACCGGTTAATTACTAAATAATAAGTAATGTCGTATTTATATAGACTTTAGTGTTGATAAAATTCTGTGAATTAATTTGTAATGTGTTAAGGGATATATTTTCATTGGTTGGTTGTCGCAATGAAGAAATTCGATCAAAATTGAATATTGGATAGCATAAAATTGATTACTGCTCCGTCACCAATCTGCGTATTATTCAGTTTAATGCCCAGTTAACATTTTGATGGACCGATTCTGATGGGTAGTATCATCTGATCAGAAACATTGGCAGTTTCATCTTTTCGTTATATTCACACTAAACAGAAACTAATTTTTATATAAACAGAATTATTTGTTGTTCAGTGTTAGAGTTCCAATAAAACCTTAAGTGTTGTAAAAGAACTTATTTATCAAAATTAGAAAAGTAATTGTAAACAACCAACATTAAAGTGAACAATTTACAATCTACTGAACAAATTCATTGGCTTAACTAATTTTAGTCCTGTGTCGTGATGTCATCATAACAAAGATATGTTTGTGTATATGAAATATTCATTGTTATAATTTACAGAGAAAATCTTCTGTGATGTGGAAAAATCCCTAGGCTAATCTTAAAGAAAATTCATTTCAAGTGAACCAAACAATGTTATGTTTTAAAATTGAGAAATTTCAATTCTGTATTCAAAAAATGTAGACTAAAACTTATTTAATCTAAATGGATGATATTGAATTTATCAATTGACAGTTGAACTTCTTCATATTTGTCACAAGGCGCCAAAAAAGGATGATTAATCGAGATGACTATTATTACAAAATAAGAAAGATTAATTCGCTGAAAGGAATTTTACAAAATTTAAGTTCTTTATTGCTACTTTTCAAATATCAATTTCCATAATTATGTTACAATCTCACTGATTTGATTTTTAATCATTAATTAAATGGGATATGTCCTATGTCCATTATAATGATTGTTTTTCTATGTATGAGTATTTCCAAAAAGGTTGTATTTAAAATTGTAGATAATAAATGAAATAGTTACGAAGTTGATGGTAAGTAGTAGTGATAAAGTTGTGATATTCGAGTTTAGAACATTTTGATCATAGAAGATACTTACGATTACTCAGAACAAAAATAACTTATTCGATAATACACACACATGGTCTAATTATTAGCATTTTAACCAAAAGCTTTCTTTTAGAGTGAAAGTTAATAACAGAATACGTTAATTTTTAAACGTCATGTAGCCGCACAGTTAGTTTGTGGAAGGCAGTAGGTTACTACTTTTTGGTGTTTAAGCACTGTTTAAAGAATCCTCACAACAGTACCAATCAATGAACAAAAGTAATCCTAATTTGTGTTGGTTTATAGATGAAAATATGTGTTACTAGTAAATTTTCATCAGTTCTCTGACTTAGTTGTCATATTATACAACAAATTGTTGCCTGCTTAGTTTCTTGTTTGTTAAATGTCGATAATGCTGGTAGATCGTTTAAAATTGCATGATCTTGTGTAGGTTTATTTCATTCTCTTGTGCACTTATCGATTTTGACCAGAACTAATAAATTCATAGTACTTAGTTAGACAGTGGTCCTTTACCTCAATGAGGGGAATTTTAGGTAAACTGATGTTCGTTATAAGAACATCAGTTACGGTGGGAAATTCTTTTTTTTCGAGTTGTAATTAACGTTTTATTTAGCATAAAGTACTTCATCAATAAAGTCTACAAATAAATTCTTACGAAGTCATACAAAGTAGCCATCATGATTACAGTCCACTAACATATGATATTAAGCGATGGAGAGAGATTTCTTTAATGAATTGAATCATATAAACTGGAAAGGTGAATGTAATCAGGTCGTGGAAATGTAAGAAGAGAGATAATAGAACACATTCAGCAATAATACACAGGTGTAGTTTTTAAAAATCTTCCTTATTTAAATGAAGTAGTTGATACGTTAAGATACATGCTTGAGACGGTTTTAAACATTGTATCAGAACACTAGAAGCAATCGAATCTTTACGATATATCGTGGATTTGTCAATGAAAAAATAGCTTCAGATAAAAATACAAACAGATACTTACCTTTAGCTTCAGCTATACCATAAACAGAGCGATTGTAACCATCCATTTTATTCCAGTAGAAAGTGTTTAGTAAGCCAGGTTCAGGTTCTAAAAGCTTCACGTGACGTTGACCAGCAATATCAATTACTAGGTGAATTTCTTTCAAATTCAAAGGTGGAGCGCGATTTGATGCTAACAAGTGAATAGATATGCCAGGTTTGTAACCGGAAGTGCGATCAGAACGGTATATAAGCCGCAGTTGTGTATCCTATGTGATTACAGATATACAATTAAAATGATAATTTTGTTGACTGAAGTAAACACTGGTCATTCACATTTAATGAATTTGTATTAATAGTGTTTTTCTAGTTTATAATACTCCAAGCGTCCGAAAAATTCAATAGCCCTAAGTTCTAATTTCAGATCAGAATATTCGTTTAATATACTTACCTTTTTATCTAATTATTCGCTTTTTCTGTTAAAACAATCACCGGAAGTGACTATTAAAAATTTCACACTGATGGCCTTTAAAAATGCCCTTGCAACTATATAAACAACAACACTGTGAAAATAGTAAGTTTATTTATTGAAAGCGAAATATCCGAATTGAGGTGAAATTCAATTATTGTACACCTAAATAGAATGAATGAATGTTATCACTGAGTGGATTTACTAGCTGGCGGATGGTTGCATATCCGGTGTATACCTTACACGACTCTCTTTATAAAGATTATTAGAAATATTTGGTTCTTTTCATCTACCGAACCGAAATTACTGATCAAATGATTACAAAATATACATGAAAAAATTAACAAACCTTTATCGGAATATTATACATCAATGCTCCGTTTCTGACGCATATGACATTTTGCTCATCTAGGCAAACAGTAGAAATATCCATTAATGAATTGCTTTGTATATAAGGACCACCAAGTGTAACTATGTCATGTATATTTCCACTAGTACATAAATTTTCTATGACTATATTTTTATCTGAGAACTTGGGCATAAAACTGTTCATAATCCATAGATCCCCGTGTATTGGTGATGGACCAAGTGTACCCCCAAAATCACCTGATATAATATTATTCGTAGTAGTTTTCGTTGTTATTGTTGTGGGTAGGTCATTATTTGATAATTGTTTAGCATCATACACATAAAAATCACCCATATTGACAATTTGATTAACAGGCACATATAAATTATGTATGGCTGAAAATCGATCAGTCGGATACCGTAAGAATTCTAGCTGAACAATTGTTCCCCCATCAACTGGTAAGTCAAATCTGCAGTAAATATTTCGAAAAAAACACGAAAAGATTAATGAGCTGCATAATATTGTACTTTGAAGACGGGACACGGTAAAAAGAAAAAAAAAAACTAGGGCTAGTACCTCACTCAAACTAGTTTCGATCTAGGATGTTACACTTTTTGAAAGAACAGCAAGAGCACATTAACGGAAATGTCAAGACACATACACAATGAACAAGAAGCACATGAAAGGTAAAAAAATTAACAAGAGTAAGGCACCAAAGTTATACGGGAAGATTGAAAGCGATTGTAACTTTAATCCTGTGGTCGACTTTGAGTAATCACAACTACTATCCATAATCATTTCCAAGAACCGTTCGGAGGGGGACTTTTCTAGTTGACCAAAGACTTGATTGACAAAGTAGCAACAATGTTTGGTGTTTTGTCGTGGTTAAATAAACATTCGTTCACTGAAAACACTGTATAGTGGTGGGCTAAAACACCACTAAGCCTTTGTTTTCACATAGAAAGACGAGGGATACAACCTCGTAGTGAAACTGTAGGTAAACCAAAACTTGTACCCAACTTCTTTAAACGTTATGACAATTTACACACTTAATGGATGACACTGATTAAACATTAAGATTCCAGCTTTGACACTGTTCGATTGATACATATATACACAAAAGAGTTCTGTCGGTGGAAACAAATGAACATTTCTGCGATGGTTCCCATTAAAATTATATGCTCATTAATAACAGAGAAGAAGAGAATATACTCTTTGCCTACCACTTTTCCATATCGATTCTTTATCTACATACAAAAGTTAATGCAAGCAAATGAATTATTTGATACAAATCACTCAATAGCGCATCAACCACTTGACTTTCACCTACTGGATAACAAGTTTGAACATTGTTATGACTACTAAGGCTCAGAGGAAACCGTATTTTAAAGCCGATTATATGAACTTATATTTAATTGGTGATTCGAATTTGGAAAATTAACTGACCTTCCATTCTTATCAGTTAGTGTATATCCATTTTGCATATTAGCTCGGTCGGATACACGACAACCCCAAAATACAGTTCCATCCCATTGACGAACAACACCACGAACAACGGAAATACGTCTGAACAATGTAAATGCACAACACGATTTAAAGTAATTAAAATAAAATGACAGTAATGCTGTCAAGTAATAAATGAATGTAGTCCAAATATACATGAATTTGTAGACACTAATAGCATACTGAAATTACAAAAGTAAGTTGTGAATTGTATGAAACAATCGTTCCAGTAAGTTAGTAATCCAATGTTTTCTTTTATAAGAACCTTAAATGACTAATTGCGTTTTTGTTTATTTTAATGAAACTGATGAGCGAGGTGATAGATTTTTTAGTTATATATTAAATAACTGGTGACAAAATATGTAGGCTTTTATTGGCATCGTAATATAATAATTATAGTTAATCTCTGAATGTTGTTTGTCCCAACTTGTAGATCTAATATTAAGCTTGGAAATAAAGCCTTGAGATCGAATTTTGATGGTGTTGACACCCCGATTCTTGACGCTTACTATAAAATAATTCAAATAAAATCAAGATGACAGTAATGGAAATACATGTTTTAAATAAAGTGGATTATTTAAACAAAATTCATGATCTACGATATGCTCGCGGATGATTTTGAGATTCAGGAAAATCAATATTTAGGAGTATTCCACCTCTTTAATACTTACAATATGAACTAAAAAGTGATGGCAAAATGGCTTTATCACTTTCTGTAGATGAGATACCTTTTCGAAAAAACGCACCGTAGTCATGAAATAAGTAAAAAAAACACCGTAGGATTTTGTTTTTAAAAAAATTACGCTGCATGCATTTCACCATCACTAAATGCATTCAGAGGTTCGCAATACAAGAAATACTAGTTGAGAGTACAGGGTATTTTTTTTAAAGAGAACATTGTAAGTGTCTACTAGGATTATGATGTCTTATCCCCTGCTCTAGTAGCGTATATATCAAGCACTTGAACATTTAAAAAAGTCACTTCGTTAATGGACAATTTTACATCCGACAAACTGTGGCACATAAAATAAAAATATAGAATAAATGCTTGTCTATAATATGCAAAAACCAGTCGACAGAAAGTCCAAGACTAGTCAACAAAAACAAAATGTTTTAGCGAATAGCTTAGACGAATCAGTTGTTGATTAAATTGTGAATTTCCAAGCCTGAAGAAAAACCTGACAGGGGGATTTTATTATATAATAACTACTTAGCACAAAAAATATAACAATAATGGGGTGTTTTGGTTATTAGAAAGATTTGGAACATTCAAAACCGTAAATAACAGAAATTAACAAGAAGTATGAAGGAAAGATAGTAATATTTAAAGGACTATATTAATGAAACATTAGAATGAATTTATTTTCCTCTAATCATTATCTTCATACTTAGTTAATTTTTAGAGATTTTCCTACTTGATGAGTTTCTACTTGTTCAGTCTTCGATGTTTGAGTATGAACTAGCCAAGTTTCTTCTACTGATTTAACTAGAAAAGATTTTTACTGATTGTTTCCGAAGACTTCAAAGTGATACATGCACTGCACGTAACGTACTTGGGTCATTTTATTTTGAAGTCTCTTTCTGATGTTGTATACCGTAGTTCTTCAAGTACAGTTACAAATATTGTGATTTTTGGTAAAAGTTTGTATACATTAATTAGAAAAATGGAAAATCACCAAGCTGATGTACAGAATAGGACAGTAGAGGAGACATTCATCATGAATAGTTCAATGATAATCATCGAGCTTAATTCACTGAATAAAGATATCGATTCTGAAAAGCTGTGAAACATGAATGAGGTGATTGGAATATGCGTTATATATGTCTAACTACAACCTAGCTAGGTGATTTTGACTGTTGTAGAAATAAGTTGGAGGAAAGCTAGTGTCGATCAAACTAAAAACGTGGCATCAGTCTATGAAGTTACTGACTGTCCGCCCAATCCATGTTAGTAAATCGAGACTACTTGGTTAGGGTTTGTGCAGTAAACACAATCAGTAGTTCGTGATTTCGTACAACATAGATCGGAATCCCTCACAATAAAACAAATGCGTTCACTCTATCTACTTCCCGATCTAATACCCGAATTCCTTTATTCATTCCCTTTGATCATGTCATTTGGAATCGTATTATCAATGTTCGGTTTTTCTTAGTATTACTGTCACTAAATTATTTAGATCTTTTTTGCAGCTCCACTTGTTATATTCATTTCGTCGTTCTGAAATGATCTGAATAGTTAGGTTAATGAACATCTACGCTGTTGGGTGAATTAAATTTTTGAAGCTGAGACATAATACATAAAGTTTGAGTAAAATAATTAAATTGAAGGCACATTAATAAAAATAATTTATTTGCTTGAAAAAAGTCTTCAAAATTTTTATGGCCATCAAAACTTATTGAATTAAACGCCAAGAGAAGAAATAAATATTAACATTAGTAAGAGAATAGATAAATAAATCAATAAATAAATAAATAAGAATACGAAAATAGATAACCAAGGAATTTTAAAACGAATATAAGACCGAATTCAAGTAAACTAACAACAGCAGCGGAATATGACGGAAATCTAAAGGTACAAGTTAAGAGGTAACTTTTTCCATCAAAAAAACTCAACATATTAACAGAAATTGTTCTAACCTGGGATCGAAGTTCTCTACAACAATACGTTCGCGTCTTAGAAGGAATTCTAATTGGCCATAAAATGCACTGTCCAAGGGTGCAATCGGTGTAATTAATAAATAATAATCAAATGATTCACTATGTGCACAACTTTGTTGGGCGTTATCAGCAGCTAGACCGCCGGCATTTGGACCAAGTTTAATGAGTCGGTCACAATGTGTCGATGTACAGCAATCGGGATCTAAACAATCAATAAGATCATCTAACCGAGAAAAAGTAAATAGAGGACAAGAGGAAAACAGTATTTAGTATGATTAAGTGTAGATAGTTTACATATATATATAAAAAACACTTATTGAACATTATAACAATAATGTGTGTGTGCTTGAAGGGAGGGATCCCTTTCCAGTGATTTCATTCTCCAAGCTATGCAGTAAAAAATAATATACAGGTATTTGGTAAAACGAAGGATAACATTAATATAAATATTCGTTGGTTATTAACAATAGTTTATCAAATGCATAATAACGAAAAGGAACGAAAATATCACAAATTGTTTTTGTTAAAAGACTGAAACGGAACAACTATGGAGCTTAAAAAAATTAGTCAATACGGTCGAAACAAACGACAAAACGGACAACTACAAAGACTGGTTATACAACATGCTAAACTAGATTTCTCAGCGAAATATAATTAAAAAGAAATTCGGAACAGAAATCGATAGGTCTGGACTTGATAGAGGCGGTGCTTGATTTGATTCATGGTTATCAGCATTTCGCAACTAAATACCATGAATAATAAAGAACACTTTTTATACCATTTCAATAGTCTAATGTGTTTTAGTTCGAATAATTATAAAGTAAAGTTTACCTATATACTCAACTGGTTAATAATCTATTTCAATATGGTTATATATATATATGGTGTACATTTTGATTCATACTTATTTCTTGTCTTCAAACTTAAGTAGCCGGTTGGGCTCGTATACATGACTACCATTAACGGAATCAGGAGGCCAACTAACGTAGATTTAATGAATAGATGCTTGGTATCATAAGTGAATAGGTTGTGATATACAACACAAGTATGATGTTTGGCACGGACTTAGATGGTAAGCTCACAGTAACAGGGATTTTATTGATGAAAAAGGTCAGGAAATCAGAAACAAACATTATGTAGGAACCTTGGAAAATAACAATACTAGTAATAATAACTACTATTACAGTAATTTTCCGAATGTAATTTGATTTATATTATGTAGTGAACATTACGATTTACGAAAACAGATGACAGAGAGGCGTCTTTATGTACTTTTTTATTATGATAAGAGACATAACAATTAATGAAAGAATTGTGTCTTTTTTCTTTCGTATTATTGTCTTTCGTGTTATTGTCAATTTATATATGAATATACATCTTATAATAATGGGCATAAAATTCCAATAATTCGCAAATAATAATTAGTCTCATAAGAGATACATATTTCCTAAAATATCAGTTGTATAAATTAAGAGATATTATCAACTTTTGTACATTTTGTAAGAACGTATGGATAAATAACGGTACTATGAACAACAAGAGAAAAATCAGTCCATAAAAAAGACCAAATAAGCTTATATTGAACTACATTTAGCAGGCTTTGAATATTTACAGAATTATTTGATGGAAATACTTAATAAGTTCACTAGTGAGTCACAGATGAACAGAACTAATTGGTTAATTAACTAAAGGGATAAAAGACAGTTTGAATCTGAGTAACTAAACTAATAGTTTGTTTTCTGTGTAGATATTATGGTTATATAACTTACGTTATTTTTGAGCTAAAAATTATGATAAAAGTCAACAACCACCAAATCGATTTTAAAAATATCAAAATACTGCAAAAAGGCTTTACTAACTACAAAGAAAGGAGGGTAGCTGAGGCGTTCCATATAATGCTTAATCCTACTTCTCTCAATAGAAAGGAAGGTCTTACTATACATCCTACTTGGACCATCTATCCTAGCCACTCAGTCTGATCGTATTAACAATTTCACACTATCATATTACAAATTTAAACTCCATCCTTTCTTACCATAAAGGTCACACAAGTTTTCATTCTTAAACAATGCACATATACATACACACACAAATTTACATACATATCACTTATGAATCATCTTGACAGAAATGACATGATATCAACTTGTTCAGACCTGTTTTTTGATTGATCAAATATTATTTTTGCATTGCTCCGTTGTACTATTTAGACTTGGATTAATTTTAATTTGGTTATTTATTCTCTGAAGAAGTGACTTACACTAAGTCACGAAACGTCAGAAAATCCAATTTTCTACTCATTGGGATATTACAAATATATTATTTTTATTTAAAAGTCGATAAATGTAAACATTAAACAGTATAAATCATCGATCAACTTTACCTAGACAACGTGGTAGGTGAGCAATCTGCTAAGCCGTCTAAATCTAGACAATAAGGTCGTCTAATGCAACCTGACTTATAATAACTATCTAGCTGCTAAACTCATTCAGTAATGTTCGAATGCAATATTGCTTAACCTAGAGATGTTGATTGCACAGAATCCTCATGACTCATTGTTTACACTTGATTAGTTTTAGATGTATAATTATCAGAAAGACGTTTGGAGAATACAAAATTTAATCGACTGGGGTTCAACAATCATTAGACAAATTGTATATAGGATAAGTACATTTTAAACCAGAAGTAACTGGAATTATAATTTAAGTCGAACAGAGATCTGATATACATTATGATGAAATATTAGAAGCTCAGTTAATATTGACTGAATGAACAGTCGTTAACCACACAGAATTATACGAATGTTCGAGGTATAAAGATATCGTAGGTAAATATGTTTGTGCTTTTTCCTACATATGCATAAAGAAGTTGGAAAATAATCAAATAAGTGTCAATATATATGTGAAAAGAATATTGTTAAACATAGGCTGTTAGCTATAAAAAAGTGATGAACATATGTTTCGTACTTATTATCTGAAGGAAGTCCAAGGTTCTTTAGTGGGAAGAGAAATTAAGCGCTTTGTTTGTACGTGGTAGTTGAAGTCTATCGATCAACTACAGAAATTAACTGGGCAGCTGTGAACCCTCGAGATGAAAAAAGACATTGTACTATCTATCTTATGGTTGTACTACCTGAGTGACAAACGTTTTATCAGTTATTGGAAAAAAAGCAGTATCCCTGTTACAGTTCGTTGGTCAGTCTGTATAAATATGAAGATATCACTGCAGTCCATGGGAATTGAATATTCAAGCACGGATTTTTGTCATTTAAGAAGACAGTATTTTCTACATGAATGAAATAAAAATAGCTAACATTTAACTTACTATTAGAGAGACGATCGTTTGAGATCAAGGAACAGCCTAAGTAGATTGGTTTATTATCCGTATCACAGTCAAATTATATCTATAACTTGTATTAGCTAGTACATTTATCATTAAGTTGTACAATTTTGTCAATAACATGTCAATAACATAGCTAACTAAGCCAAATATTTTCTCATAAACGTTATAGAATAGTTAAGCAATAAAACAAATGTCAAATGTGAGTGCTTATGTTCAGATATACAGATAATTTTTTTATAATCTACACAGGGAGTTGTCACTGAAAATGAATTATGTACAGATACTGTCAGAAAAGTAGAATATATATATATATATATATATATATATATATATGGGAGAGTGACTGGAAATATCTAATTGATTGTTTCTACACTTTCCCCCTCGATGCAATGACAGTGCGAAAATTTTTTATTAAAAAGGTTTTTTTGAGGTAAATGAATTAATGATTTATACAGAGTTTGATCTATTTTGTGTGCTTCCTTTGGGCTATTCAAGAATAATAGTTTACTTGCCTATACCAAAAATAAATCTATCTATGATTACTTATTTACAGATTTCAGTTTAACAATTGGGTATGTTACGACACCCATACAAGTAGTTCGATTAAATGTTAAGTTAATAAAATCTAAAACATCTGTTGGAAAAAACAACAAGTACCGGATATTTGCTTGTTCGTCTTTAGAAACAAGTGTCATTTATATCCACTACAACCTAGCAAGAATAGTAACGGTTAATTCACTAGTCTTGTGCTATTCGCAGATTAATAAAAATGAAATTTGAGGATGTTGTAAACTCTAATATGATTTAATAGTTCAAATTTTGACTGACTAAATAGTCAACTTAAGAGTTCTGTTCAACACTTACATTGATGACTACTACCAAGATGTAGTGCATTGAAATGAAACAACATATTTATGAGTGGTATTTTAAAACTGGAAAATCATTTCTACATCACAATATAAAATTCTTCGATTTTTTGTTTCAAAAACTCTTAACCTACTGTTAATGTATAAATAAGTAATTGGTAGGAACAACTACTAAAATTAACTAGTCTCAAAATCATTTATTTATTATGAAATAAATTCAGATGAACACTACAGAGTTTTGAAGGATAGAACAAACACCAAATACATTTTATTTTGTCTTGGCACTCGTTTTCAAAATGACATGGAGTCAACAGGGAGATAGGCACATATTGAATAAGAATATTAGACTAAAAAAACGTAGCCAATACAGTGTGACAGGTTTTTTATATGTATATCAGAAAAATGAGATAGATCATACACATTTACATATATACACGTATGAATTTTTTCTCAACTATTTAGCATTTTTTTTGTTTTTAATGCTAACTGTCAACATCCTATATTGACAGAAAGATATGTTTCCAATCAGTGCACGATAATAAAACAGTTCCATATTCGATCAGTCATAAGATACATTTTCCATGTATATAGTAACAAGATATTTTATAAGAAAATGTTTTATTTTTACATAAGCAAAAAAAAAATCAATTTTTATAAAAAGGACTCCGTTTACGTTCATTAGTTTTGTTTATAGGTAGGGCTGGTAATATATGTGTATAAAGTAGTGAATATGCGACCCTTTTTACAAAATACTGAATGGTTCGAGATACTACTCATGCTATTATTATCTTATCGCTGTCATGATTATGGTGATGTTTATAAGACAAATATGAACCGTAATAATAATGTAGATAGATTATTAAGAAATTAATTCACATAATGCCAATGAATAATTATGGGACAGTATGAGATGTAATTGTGAAGTCACTACTCAGAAAACAAAGCAATTGGCTTCTAACTATTAGTTCGCATGTTTGAATCCAACAGTACTAGTTACTTGGATTTGAGAGGCCGAGTGTTATTGCTAGTTCAAATATAAATAGCATGAATAATAGCTGAGTACACGAATGTTATAAACCCAAAACATGCAGAGGAATATTTTAAAATTTTTATTTTGTTTCACAATGAAAAAATTATTTATATTCAGCTCTATATACGTGTATTTGTCATGCCTCTTCCTAGTTCATGAAACATCTTACCCATCCAACAAGTAAGAAGCATTGAATTCTCGTAATTTTGTTGCGTCCGGTGTATTACGAGTTTTTTATAAACAATAAGATACCCCCAAATTTCCTGGTACGGCCGGAGGTGGGGAGAGCCCGCTCTCCCTCTCGAAATGCCCTCACATAGCCACGAGTATACGACCACTGTCGGGGAAGTCCTACTCACTGCCTTATCGCGGATGGTGTTGTTTACGAAATTGAGAGGACAAAAAGCGGATGTTTGGAGAATCATCCTAGGGAAGTTGGAAGATCCTGATTCCAAACCATTGGTGTACATGGGCTCCAGAACAAATGGCGTATGAAATTATTGTTGGTCACCCGCTACCATGGAACTGCATCCCCACTGCCTTGTGGATTAAACTTCTACGTCAAGGCTCGGGGAGTAGCCCCCTAAGAAAACCACCTGCTTCTGTTTGGGAGCCCAGGCACTATCCCAGCCCTTACACAAGTCGAATGATAAAGTCTGGCATATATATGTTTGGTGCTCCCTTGTATCAATGTTCGTGTACTTAAATAGTGAATAATAATATTACAAATATTACAAATGAGCAAATAAAATCATTCGCTTTGTATTATATTTTAATAATGACCTAGGTTTTGAGAGATTACCTGTGATGCTAAAAAAGACAGACTAGCTCGGATCTGATTGCCGAGAGAAACGTTGGAGTTATTATTAAATCTGCCAATCACTGAGACTTTTACGAATATAATTTCCTTTTTAATATATTCCATTAACTAGGCGTCCAATTATTGTGAAACTATTTGTCCAAACTTAGACAGTTTTGTATCTCTGATATTATTTAAAAACTTAAAGGCTATTTAATAGACTAAATTTACCATGATCATTATCTATTCCATCATCACATATTGTTTCGATTTGTCGTTGACACGCACTACCTGACCAACCAGGAGAACATTGACAATAATAAAAATTAGTCAATGTATTCATGATGCATTGACCGTGTCCATTACAATGATCTGGGCAACCATCTACAAACAAGTAAAGAATAAAAGAACAGCTTGCATGATCTTCGCAACAGGTTTACTAAGTATATGGACGTAGGATGAAAAATGAGAGGGAACAGCAAAAATTCATTTTTATACTCTAATATGATTGCAAAATTCGTAAATTTTGAAGGTAATTTGTAAGGTCAATTGAGAAACTGAATCAAACAGCTAGCAAAAATCACCATTTAATCGATATTACATTTAGCACAATTTAGGAATATATATTATGCTGTATACATGATTTCCTACTAGACAGAATGGAATATCTTCAAGGTAATATTATTGGCTTAACACTTTTATTTCGGATTTGTATTTAACATGTTAATGTTCACAGATATTAGAGGTTAAACGTTAGACGACCCGACTGATTATCTCATATCGGTGAACAAGCTATGAACATTTGTCAGTAGAAAAAAAGGAGCAGGGGAAAGGAAGAAAGGTAGAGATGTTACGTTTTTGAAAAAAAAAACAAGAAAATACACGGATAAGAAAAGTAGGCAGGAAAAAATTTGAGGTGAACAAAAATCAACCAATTAACTAGTAAGTAACAATCGAAGTTCATTCGGTAGGCATTGCCATTTTTACCCAAGTGATGGGGAGATAGAACAGTAAACGAATAAAGATAAAGACTAACGAGGATATTGAAAGGTAACTATATGAATAATAAGTTATTGTTGTTGAGTATTGTCTAATTTTACTCAAAATATTTTATTTTTATTCGTTAAAAGAATTTCAAGTAGATGTTTAGAACATAAATTCACCTGAAACAATCATCTATCATCGTCCAGACTATTCAGAAAACATTATGTTCTGTTAGGATTTTTATCAGAGAGCACTGTTGTTCGAGTGTTCAAAGTTAATTTCTAAAAATCCAAACTAAGTATTACACCTAGGAGTATACGTACTGCAAAACTACCTAAAAAATGAGTGCGGAGCACTGATGAACATTACCTCATCTGCCTGATTCAGGTAATAATTAGTTCTAAGTTTCAATTCAATTACAAGAGTGCGGGTAAAAAAAACTTTAATTGATCTGATGACATTTTCACATATTCATCTTAACGACAGTCACTATAGCGAAGTGCTTCAATCAACTAAATTAAATGCAAATTTAGGTCAAAACATTCAGTTAGAGTCTGATGTAGGTTGTGGCTACTTGGTGAAATGGAACTTTATGCCAAGTCATAAGTTGTAGATAACAGGTTGGATATTTGTAAATATACTACCAATATACACTCCCTTATCAGAATCTAACAAAAGTTGAAGATATAATTAATGTTCTTCCAAAAGGTCAAGAATCTGCAAGTTTTTGGTATTACCAACCTGATTCCTATTTTTCTCTTGATGTAATAGATAGCGAACACCTGTATGATTCACATGCCTACAGATAAACATTCAGTTACTGTGTTTACCAAAAGATCAGAGAATGTCGACCTAATGTTTTTTTGGATAATTTATAAATTAAATTCAAAAGGGAAAATTGTTTGGCTAATTAGTGTAACGAACAGATGAGTATTTCATATCAATACATCTCCTACATTACTCACATATTTTTTCGTTCACAATGCAAAATAAGAGAACGATTAGAAAATTACCTAATGTACAGTATTTCCCATTCCAACCGACTTTACAAATACATGTACCATTAGTACAATGTCCATTTATAAAACAACGAGTATCGCATCGTTTTGTATTGCAATCGGAACCTGTCCAACCAGAAAAGCATCGGCATACAGGCTGATCATAACCATCCATATATTCACATACACCGTGGGAACTACAATCGAGTGTGCATTCTGAAAACAAAACAGGGAAAATGCTACTAGAAAATTTAAATATAATTGCATAGTTTCCTTACGAGTAATAGTTTCATGACGTTATAAGTTGAAATTTAGGTTCAATCATCCAACTATTTTTGCTCGTGTTGCTCATACACACTACACGGTGATTTTGTAAACAGCTTAAGATATTCATTGTATTTGACAGTAACTATCAGTAACTTTACGACTTCAATTTCATTGTACTTGCGAGTTATTAAGAAGACGAAAAATATTCTACCATATATAATTTATGGTTACAACAAATTTTCTTAAATTTATCAGTAAACATATATTGACAAACATTGCATGTAACATTCGCTTACATTAGATGAACTCACGTGCTATAAATGATTATTTCCCTAACGATCATATTTCAAGCTGCAATACAACATAATATATGTTTGTATATAAAGTTTTTACTGATCACTTGTTATGAGGTCATTATTAAAAGTAATAAGAACATGATTCAAAACACTGGTTAAAATTCGAGTGATTAAATACTAGAGAAATAGTGTGCTGGTTACCTGAATATATCCGTCGTCTGTAATATTAATATTAAACGACTCAAATAAATATTAAGATATTCAAGCATATTAATTGGAAAACTACGAAATATAGCCTTTCCATCTAAAGCTAGGGATTTCTAACTTTTGATTAAATCACACAGATAAGTTTACATTACACCAAATCGATTTTAGTGAGGTAAAAAATATTTATTTAAGTTACATAAACGACTAGGGCATCCCATCATTTTTTGTTGTTGGTAGTTTGATCAAGTGGAGAGATGAAATATGAATAAGAAGAAAGGATTGACAGAAAAGAAAGTATGACGCAATTAACAGGAATAAATAAGATTTGAAATATTCATAGAAACAAATTTACCTTGTTCTGATGCTGCATCCAACAACAACCTAACGGGTGCGGATGATAATCCAATCGCTCGTACAGACGATGAAGAAGGAGGAGACATTGACTTCATCATTAATCGGTTAGACATTTTATTATTATTATTATTATTATTATTATTATTATTATTATTATTATTATTATTATTATTATTATTATTTCCATTACCCGTGTTACCAGATGTGGATGCTCTATTAGACGGATGAATTAGTTCAGAATTTATTAAATGATTAGGTACAGGTAGTTCACAACCGATACCAGACCAACCATTGAAGCATCGACAATTTCCATTCATGCAAACTCCGTGACCAGAACAATTGAAAGAGATACACGTTCCTGAATTCGGTAAATAATATGGAATGAAAATTAAAATGAGTTTTTTAATGCGTTCTGTGGAACCTGGGCAAAAAAAGTTCAATCACATCAGTGCAAAAATATTATTATTATTTGATCGATTGTTCAGTGTTTTCATTTAATTCAGCTGGTCATTTAGAGTCAGTGCGTGTTTGTGAGCAATGATTACTTAACCACATCGTGCCATAGTATCAACACCCGATTACGACATCAAAGAACCTAACAAAACTGTAATAAATTCAATACATTCAAACTACAAGGATGAAAAAAGAATAACTTTATAAACGAGACGGTTAAAAAAGAGGCCAAAAGCACTTGTTTTAAACCTTTTTCATGTGTTAGATTTATTTGCAAACGCAAATAATTTCCACTGTTTCATTTGCTTTCTTTTGGTATCCGGTGTCCACCTATCTCTATTTATTTCTCACTTTGATATGTTTACAAAGAAACAACTACTTATTTTTGCTTCTTATTTCTTTCTACATTACATGTATGCCGACTTTATTATTTTGTTTTTTTTAAATTTAATTTTCCTAATGTAATGCTGGGTTTAAGCCGTGAAGAAATTTAGTAGTAGTACTAGTAGGAACTGAATACTCCTACTTCATCTAATTTGATTTACAATTTATTGTATCAAAAAATAAGTACACACATAAATTGGTAATTTATGGAAAAAGTGTTGATTATCATCTTAATTTTAGAATTTCATGGTTGAACATATAGGGAAACTAATAAAATAAGTTCTAGTCAAATCAGAAATTATTTTCATTGTAATAAGTGATATTTCGTTAAACAAATCTCAAACAATCGAAGTGTCATGAAAAATAACAAACAAGACAGGATGGCTAACAGTGGGATCTATGATGCGTGTTTCATCTTATTAGGGATTTTCAGTAGGCTATACCTAGATCGTATTATCGATTTTCACACTGAGACTCGAAGCCAGTACTTATCGGTTCATACGAGAAAATTATAAACCTTATATATGCAGACACCATCTTCGGTAAACCACGCAGAAATGTTAGATGATTATAAAGATAAAAGTCATTTTTATTTGTTCAACTATTTCTTAGGTTCATTAGCCTATGTTGAATATTTGAATAGGATCCAGATATTTTCGATCTGTTGTATTCGAAGCAGAACTTGGAACAATAGTGCATCAACCAAAGTCTTAATACCATGTCAGTTCAGCGAGGTAAAATCAACAAGATAAGTAACAAAGTGGTTGAAATAAAAGTAACATTAATGGTAGTAAAACATACAAAACATAGAGGATGCCATCCGAAAAAAAGGAATGTAATGAGGGAATAAAGGTATGAAATAATTTTGGAACTGGAAATTTGGGAGGAAATAGAGCAAGAATACGACTTCGCAGAGGCGTCCATATCACCTAAGGTTTACAACAAATGATGGTGATTATCGCACTGAATTCAACTAGATGGTGTACGAGTACTAAAACGACTCAGGTAAACAGTTAACAAATTCACTGACTCATGTCATATTTTGGTTTGGCTACCTCTAGAACTCTGTTTCTACACAGGCCAACAGTGAAAGCTCAGGTAGGTAGTGGCTAGGAACCAGGTCAAATATAATAGCGATTGGAAAAAATGGACTTTCTGGTAAGGTTTTGTCGTTTGATGAGGAAAACAATACCCAGACAAATATAAATAATTCGCGCAGTTAATATAATTAATATATTATTGTGGTATAAAACAGGAAAGAACAATCAAATTACGTAGGTAAAAGGGAATAATTCCACCAACAAAATGTATAATTATAAAGATGATAGTAACTGGAAACATTTGACCAATAAATCGACTAGTTAAAATTAGTATGAAATATCCATGTTCATTCATTAATATGTACCTATTCAAGTACTGTCATTCTATCAAACTTCCCTGCTATTGATGTTCATCAGTATAAAGATCCATGAGTTGATTAAAGCATGGAATATTGAACACAGAATTATCAGTCACTCATCTTATGTATTATATACTTTTGGTGATGATTTAATCTTTGTAATCTGTTTTCTTTACTTATTAATTTGTTATCTATTTATTTTGAATTGATGATTGTAATTCTGTATAGTAGGTATTTTTCGTAGCTGCCTAAATTATTTTATGTTTATAGGTTCATCGCTCCTTTGCTATGATATTTATCGCTTACTTCTAAGGCCATGTAGATATATTTAGTTGGCTAGTTAAAACTCATATGATTTAACTGATGAATAATGTAAAGCATAAGATGGTCTCTAATATTCATAAATCAATAAGATTGAAGAGAAAGCTAACTCTCCAAGTGTAAATTTTTTCATGCAAAACAATTTTTGAACGCTTATAATCATATTTATGCTTTAATTAGCAATTAATGTTTATAAAATGAATTAATTCAAAAAAAAGGTAACTGAGATTACAGAAGACAAGGAATTTAATTCGATACTAACGGCGTTTTACGTCGTACGAATTAGATATTCTAGGTTTAATTAAAGAAGCATTCGAACAAAGGAGCTACTTAGTCATGCTTTCATTATTCATCATTAACAGTGGAAATAATTTCCAAACTAATCACCAACGCTTTCTTCTTTTACTTACTATGTAATTATATTTCCATTTTATTATTTTATATTGATGCCATCCAGCATAATTATAAGTTTTACCTGCAACTCTTACATGCTCATTGTCTCTGTGTGTGCATATAGGTATGCGATAGAAAAGTATAAATGAATGGATATAAAAAAACTCAATGCATATAAAAGTATACACGTACAATGGACAGATAGTTAAGTGAAAATAATAGTCGTAGTGTGCAGAAAATTTATGAACTTACAAATTAGAAAAAAACAATTACATCAATAGGTCCCGTTTATTTAATGGCAGAAGTTGTTGTTGTAAATAAATTAAACAGTTAACTAAGTAATTAACATATATGGTGAATGAAAATAAACAGAAGTCATTAAACATAATTACATCCAATCAGTTAAATATAAATTGATGAGTAACGATAACACAAGTGTAGTTATTAATTAATTAAAATGACTTACGTGTCTGGCACAAATTCCCAGCATAACCTTCATAACACTGACATTCACCAACAACACAACGACCATTACCTGAACAGGTGGGATCTTCACATTCAGACCATAATGTCTGACACTCTTGACCTTTCCATTCAGGATAACATCGACAAGCACCAGATGCGTAATCACCATGCCCACTACAGACTTTTGGTAACTCAGCTATAGTGATTGTTATCAGATTTTTATCAATAAAAATAATGAGATAAATGTATAAATACACATCAGGTTGAAAGACAAATACAAAATATTTTTAACCGAAATTATAGACACTAGACACAAAGGTCATTAGGAAAAAATTAATCACCAGAACAAATGAAAACATGTTTTAATGATAATGACTATTTGTAACCAACGGTAAATAGTTTACACCACATTAATAGAGGTACGTAGTAAACACATAAAAATGTTTCCAGAGTTAAGTGAATAGCTTAAACCTATACTAAGATTTATGAACTTCATTCTGCCGATCGGAAGCCACATACAGGCCTTTGGAAGACAAGAATTCAAGAGTTTTTTTATTTATTTTTAAGATAGCTTTAATCAGGGATTGGCTACTCAAATAGTCACTGAAAATCAGAGAGCATTAAAGCTATGGAAAGATAGCCATCTAGTTCTCTAACTATTAATAACAGTCAGTGATAAAAATCATTGCGAAAAAGTTTATTCATGTTGGTTTTGTGTTATTACACGAGTCACCCCAATTAACTTGAAAATAACCGTGCGTTAAATACACATCACTACTTCTAAACATTATTAAGTAGCTTAACATTATAAAGCAAATAAAGTATTCAGTTGTGATTAAAACAGGAAAACCACCTATCAGTCGATAAAACCAACAAGATATCTGGTTTATTTTGTTGCTTAAAACGTGAGTAAATAAAAGGTTTGAAGACTGATTGAAAGTTAAAACAATTCTAATATTTATATGTAAATATGAGAAATAGAAAAATTATGTAGTTCAGCATCATTTTTTTACCGCATTAAGGACAAAAAATTATGGAATTTCGATAAATGGGTTAAGATTTTTAAAAAATCCATATTGTTGTCATCAAACATGGAAACATGAACACTATTTAACAGTATTTAAAAAAAAACGAATTGATATATAGTTGCGCTTACCTATCGAACAATCTGGACCTTTGAATCCATTCACACAATCGCAAACACCACCATCACACACACCACGATTACTGCAATCATTTGGACAACCTCGTCGCATTACTGATCAAAAATATACAAACGGAGAAGAGATTTTAAAAACATGACGAAAAATATATCATTAGATTTCTATATTCATTTAAAATAGAATGGTTTATAGACAGAAAACGTAATATGTAGGTAGTACTAAACATAAATCATTTTATTGATCGTCAGAATAGTCATAGTTGATTCGCGAAATCCACGAATAGCTGAAAAACTTGTGACAAACATTGAAATTTTACTTGAAGTAAAATACCAATAACAAAAGCAAAACTGTATTGTTTCATTGGTTCAAAATAACTTGGGGAGTTTTTGTGATTTCACTACGTGCTATGTGCAACAAATTTTAATTTACGATAAATTATGAGGTCTGCATCACAACGCGACTGAAATAAGTGAACTGACTCCAGCTGCGAATTCATAATATTCATTCAGGCATACATATGGATGGTGAGAAATAAATTTATGAATTTCGTAAAGTCATATTTCGTTTACATTGTTCACTTGAAGCGTTGTATAATCATTGTACAATAGCATGTCGAAGTTTGATAAAAAAATAATGTTACTTTGAACAGTGTTGGATAAAATTTCATAATTTTACATTCAACCTTTGAAAATTATCGACAAAAGACAACGCTGTGACACTCGGATATTCAATGGAATATCAACTTGAATAACTGCTGACAAACAGGTTTATACAAGAATTTTGTTTCATTATGATGATGGTAATCTGGTGGGAAATACTGTCACAAAATTTATGCACATTAGATTATCAATTTTTAATTGCAATAAATTAGGATTTAGGATGATTCTTCTTAACCAGAACAGTGAGGAAAGTACACATTCTTAATTATGAAAAAACGGCTAAACGCAACGTTAGTGAATAGACTTCCCCATGATTCCAAGGTCATTATGATTGTATAAATTTAGCATAGATAACTGAAACATAACGTTTCTCAAAATAGTGTTGAATGGTATACGTACTCGATGGCTCTAATAAAGCATGAACTGGCAAATATACTTTGTTGGCTAAAGAACAATTGAAGATATCAACATAGCCATAAGACAAATCAAGAGCGGCAAAGCAGCGGGGCCAGATAACATTCCAGTAGATGCACTGAAAGCAGACGTAGCAGTAATTGCAAAGATAATGAATGTTCTCTCCAGCAAGATTTGGAATGAAGAACAAGTACCAACAGACTAGAAAGAAGGACGCCTGATCAAGATACCAAACAAAGGAGATCTCAGCAAGTGTGAAAGCTATAGAGGAATCCCACTTTTCTCAATACTAGGAATTCTTCAACAGGGTATTGTTAAACAGTATGGAGTCCATAGACGTATAACTTTGAGACCAACAGGCTCAACTACGTAAGGATCGATCATGTACAGACCAAATCACAACACCACGAATCATTGTGGAACAATCAATTGAGTAGAATTTATCACTCTACATCAACTTCATTGACTACAAGAAAGAATTTGACAGTATGGACAGGACAACATTGTGGAGTCTTCTTCGACACTATGACGTGCCTGAGAAGATAGTCAATATCATACGGAATTCCTGTGATGGATTAAACTGCAAAATTGTGCATGGAGGACAGCCCACAGATTCGTTCGAAGTAAAGACCGGTGACAGGCAACGTTGCTTACTCTCATCCTTTCTCTTTCTCCTGGTGATCGAGTGGATCATGAAGACGTCAACATCTGAGGGGAAGCATGGAATACAGTGGACAGCTAAGATGCAGCTGGACAATCTAGACTTCGCAGATGATCTGGCTCTTCTATCGCATACGCAACAACAAATGCAGAAGAAGACGACCAGTGACGCAGCAGTAGTAGGTCTCAACTTCTACAAAGGGAAAAGCAAGATTCTCCGATACAACAACATGCAACAATCGAATCACACTTGACGGGGAAGATTTGGGAGATATAAAAACCTTTACATATCTGGGCAGCACCATTGATGAACACGGTGGACTTGATGCAGATGTGAAGGCGCGGATCGGCAAAGCAAAGACAGCATATCTAAAACTTAAGAACATCTGGAACTCAAACCAACTGTAAACCAACACCAAGGTCAGAATTTTCAATACAAATGTCAAAGCAGTTCTATTGTATGGGGCGGAAACTTAGAGAACGACGAAAGCCATCATCCAGATACATGTGTTTATTAAACAGCTATTATTCTTTGATGCTTATCAGGGAGCTACCACTGAATCAGCTATATAGTTTAAAACAGAAACCTGAACTTATAAAGATTAATGCTTTAATATGATATTAAGACGCTAAATTTCATGGGGGAAGTTTCCTTGTTTCTACCGTTTTTATTGGTGAGAAAGAAGACGTGAGTTATAAATGAAAATAAAGCTTCAATAAAAATATAGACTTAATAATTGCTCAAAAAATATGAAGTTAACTATATCTATCATCTTTTGTATCAACAGAAACAAAAAAAGAACTTGGGGTGGGGTAAAATGTGTAAAACTTATTATTACTAAGTAAAAGAACTTTATTCCACCTGTAAAAAAATTAATCAAACTGATATTAGAGAAAAGTATTTGCAACTGAAAATATTGTGTGAAAAAAAGTCCAACTGACAACAGATTTTCAATAACTTAGCTAATATTACTAGAATTTAATGGACTACACTCCACTTAAAAGTATAATGAACATATAGATTGCGTTTAAAATAACTCAAAAATGGATAATTAAAGATGGATAGTAGCTAGCAATAGAATACAGGACGCGCGTTCCGTCCTACTTGGGACTCATCAAGTGGATGTACCTGCATCTTATAGTTGATATTCACTCTGGGACTCAAACCCAGTACCGTTTGCTTCAAACGCCATCGCGTTATCCACTTAGATAGCCAATATACCAATAAAAGACTGATCAATTGTAACCTAAACACTAATGAGAAGATCCAAGTACACAATGCCAAGTGAATTCAAAAATGGATAGTTAACAAGTCTGCCATTCAACCATCAATTTATACATACCGAGGATGGTTGAATATTAGACTTCAGTTGACTGATAACCAAGAACTATGGTACTGTCTGTTCAAGTCATCATAATAATTCATTTACATATTCAAATGGTTTTCTGAACAGAAAAAGTAATCATAGAGCAGTTGGATAATTGATACCATATATTCCACCAGTGATTCATTAGAAATCGGGATGATATTTACTATCAAACAATTAGCGCATACACACACGCACACCTATAGGAATGAAATGTTTGGTTAATGATTTGAGTTATTACACAATTGCTAATTTTGTAGTCACCGTGTTCCATAACCTATTGAATTCTTGCATATCATCAGGAAATGTCAATCAGACGAAAATATTATGAAGGTAACGCATTAAATAGTTTTCAACTTTTCAGAGAGAAAACATTTATTACAAAAGTAAAAGAGTTCCGGTCTAGGCTCATAATACAGAAAAAAGAAATTTTGGAAAGTTTATTTTTTGGGAACTGTAGAACGGCATTGAGGAAACAAAATACGAACACAAGCTAAAAAATGTATATATAGTTTAGGTGGTCAATGGGGACTTGTAGGTCACAAGCCAGATAACGGGGACCGTCTACTGCAAATGTGCGCAGACCATAACCTGTTTCTGGCTGGAACTAACTTCCAACACAGTCATCTTTGATGTGCCATCTGGTGTCCTCTCTCTGCATATCAAACCTGGACTCAGGTTGATCATATCGCGACCAGCTACTACTGGCATGGTTGTTTACAATATTGCCGATTCTCTTAAAGTACCTATCTGGATTATGATCATGCCCTAATCTTACATTGCGTTTCAGTGGCCAACAAGTTCATCGTCCCAAACAAATCGATGTCAGCAAATTGGTTGCAGCTTATGTTGCAACTAAATATCAAAACTAGCTAGGCTCAAGACTAGCTACCATTCCACCGAGAAGTATAGTTGAACATTGGTTTTAATTGTATGACGCCATGAAAATGGCGAATAAAGTCGCTTCCGGCTTTGCGAAACGTCCCGCCAAATGTTAGAACACCGCCATAGTTATCAAAGGCCAACAATCGTAGTATTTCTTGACATTAGGGCTGCCTTCGATTCGTTGGACAGGACTGTTCTCTAGGATTGTCTATTGAAGAAGGGTGTGACTTAGAAGTTTATTAACATCTTAAAAGCCCTATATATAAACACCCCAGGCAGAGTGAGGGCATACAACCACCCCTCTCCATCGTTCCATTCAAGCAGTGGGGTTATAATGGATTACCAAATCTCACCATTCCTCTTCAAGTTTGCTATCGATGACGTTCTGGAAACAGCTCTAATGGTGGTGCAGACCTGTTGCCTGGAGAAAGACTTCTCGACCTTGAGTACGCGAATTATATTGTCCTACTGTGCGATAATACCCGAACCATGCAATCCGCACTTAATCAGGGTTCATAGGTATGGTACGTACTTAGCACCTTCCAATTGCAAAGTACTTCTACGAGAATGGCAGGGCCCTGAATCTGCACTCACTCTGGGTAGTGAGCAGATAGTAGTCGATAAGTTCGTGTATCTGGGTAGCTGTATAAGTGCTGGTGCTGGCCTGAGTGATGAGATCAATTCACATATAGTGAAAGTCAGAGCGGCTTATGCCGCGCGATCTTTGGCTCCCTCGTAATCTTGGTTTGGCTGTAAAAAGTCGGATCTACAACGCGTCGGTGAGAGCAGTTTTGCCCTATGCTTGTGAAACTTGGCCTCTCCGAGATGGAGATATTAGATGACTCCGTGTGTTTGGTCATCGTTGTCTTCGAATAATTGCTGACATCCAGTGACAACATCATGTTAGTAATGAAGAGGTTCGGCAACGTGTGTTCGGGTACAGCGACGATAATTTAATTAGTGTCACCATCTTGAAACATCGACTTCGGTGGCTTGGACATGTTCTATGAATGTCGTCCCGGAGAATTCCACGTCGTACATTACTTGCCGACCCTGAAAATAGTTGGAAAAAGCGGACAGGTGGTCAGTGTATGATACGATGTCGTGGTA